GTAGCATGCTCCATTGATGATCTCCTGCTCTTTCAATTTCTTTTGCAAATTGAAGTACCGAATGAGATGGCTAATTTGATTGTTGATTGTGAAAAATTAGCCTTCTGGATTAAAGTAGGCACTTGGTTTTGTCTAAAGTAACTTTATTCTACCCTAGAAAAATGTATCACAAACACATAATCAACAAATACAAAAAAATCTATAAGAGACTAATGCGCTCATTAATATACTAATTTAACAGTGATCATAGCTTATTTCTGAAATGCTAGAGAAATAGAAAATTTTAAAAATATACTATGATAGTTAAAGATTTATCTCTAACATAAGTACTTACTGGTTATAATATTGTGGCACCGGTTATGAACATTAAAGTATCTCTGGTATATTTTGGTATAGCAACTCTTTCAATCAATTATAGCTCCCCGTCTCTTCCTCTCCCGTATCTCCTGTAACTGACTTTACATCTCTACGAGATATTCGAGCTCACGTGTTTAACTTAATTGACTGTTCTAGTAATTTTCTAATTTCATATTAAATTATTTCTAAATAATCTAAACCAGCTGTTAAAGATATTTTACTCAGTACGGTAATGATAGCAGAGAAGAAGTATAAGAACATCGGCTGGATGGAAGGAGCATTCAGCAAAATATCATTCTGGATTTATTCAGCAAGCACCTGTATGCGACAGCTTCTCTGCCTCCTTTTTCTGGCTAAATTGTCAATGAAGCAGTCCTACTTTTTTTTAATGATAGAAAGCTTCCGCTGCTTTCCAAAATGCAATATCTTTCTGCTTGCCACTAAGTAAGTGTCTCCATGCCTGTCACTTAGCTATGTCCCACATATCCTTTGCTACATAACCAATAGCTCACCAATTAAGGCTAGTATTCAAGCTCCAGAAATTGGTTGTTCAGCTCAAAAAGTGTCATTCCTGTATTCTCTTCTCTTCTCCTTTTTCGCATACAAATGTTAATACTGAAATAAATTTGCTAATGAAGTTGACAATTTAGCGCCATTGTACACTTTTATTTAAAAATGAGAGCGCTAACTGTAGTCACTTCTCGTTTTAGATATATAAAAGGCTTACGGTTATACATACATATGCTTATGCATGTATAAGTTAGAATGTTAGAATCGAAGTTAGAATGAACTACTTGTTCATCGCAGAATAAAGTGCAATACTCTATATGCGTCTATGTCCGTTACGTTAAGTGGGCATCTGCAAGAGACGACCTGTCAACATTTCTCTTCAAAAAATAAAAAGAAGAATAATTAGCTCAAGCTAATGCTGAAATGATCGACCAGAATAGAAAATTTAATGATCTGACTAAAGCATAATGGAAGCGCAGTGTACCTTTTGATGACATCATGAAGAGACGACATATTAACACAATTACTGAAAATGCCAGAAAGAAAACTTTTCAATATTTCAAAATAAGCAGATATTCCTTTTTCATTTCTGAATAATATTTGCAAGAAATATCCAATCATTGCATAATGAGATATATTTTTCACTTTCTACCGAAAATTTCCTTAATTAAAAATCCTTCTTCATTTGCACATTAAGGCTTGCGCACTGATTGCTATCGTCATTTAATTAGTTTCTTCCTTGTGGTGAAAGAATGAGAAATAAGAACTTGATGGGGATAACCTATCCGCATTTCTAAATTGATACGAACTAAAGCAAAAATTTCTACGCAGCTAAAATTTCAACATATTTTTATTGACATCATTGTGATGCTATGTTTTGCATTTTAAATTTGAATTTCACTATCGCCCAATTTCAGCTTCTTTCATAACTTCATTTCTAAATATTTCAATGACGGTATTTTAAGTCTGAAAAGAAAAATCATGCTTACATAACAAAGATAGCGCTCCATACGTTATTTCTAACCGATCATATCTTAAGAAGATCGATGAAGTGAAATTTGAAGAATAATCGATATAAGAATGATGCAAATATAATAAGATAGGTTTAATTTCGTAAAAACTTTAATCGTTCTTCCTCATTCCACCATAAGCAAGCTGATTGATCTTGAAGAGCTGTAAACGTCTGTGAAGTGTCAATTATTATGCAGACTGCGCTTCACACAAAACTTCATCTCTGTGGTGCATTTTTCTCAATTCAGCACCTCAATCATCATTACTTCGATCCGTTAGAAATCTTCCTTTCTTCCTTCCTAATTATTAGCTTACCTTACATCACACCTGTCCGATCACCACCATTAGTTTCCAGTAGTCGAAATTAGCGCATTAAAAGCATATTGCTTAAAAGTTTTCTTGAATTCGTACAAAACAACTGCATTGCAGGATTCATCTCAGCTATATTCTTGCACTCAAACTTCTCTCCAGTCCTTACAATATATTGATTCTCGAGCGACTAAACTACATTTGTAGTGGAAGTATTGAAGAATGTTTCGATTACAACAAGTACAGCAAATTTTCTACGGAACCCTATGTTAATCATCTGATAATCTTATTTCATTCTTGATAATTCCACATTTTTCATTATTAGTAAGTAAGGAGCTTTGAAGGATTGACAATGATTGAAGGTTGACAGTACGTTGAATTGAAGTCGAAATTTTTCTTCCTTCTATCAAAATTTAATAATAAAAGAAAAGGGGATTTTAGTGAACATGAAATTCACGGTTGGATGGATGGATGGATGGGATGCAAAAGAGTTAACACTCCAGAACTTCTATTCAGGTTCTCTGAAAAGTAATGAATGATAATTTGGTGTTCTAACAATGCGTGTTAATGCATGGCTCTTTCACGAGTGCCAAGCAAATGCTAAGTTAGGGTCCAATGGGAAAGTATTTATGTGTGAAGTAAATTGCGAATCAAAAAAAGCCTTTGCGTTATGATAGAAGTGCAAGGGTTTCTCAGCTTCAGCGCATTTTTATCAAAATTTGCTGAAATTCACATCAACACCATTTGTTAGGCTCGTAAAATTAGACTCACCACTAGCCAGACTTTCAGTCTTCAAGATTCAAAATTGTGAAACCAGCGGAAATATAGCAAAAGCATAAAAGAGCCTTCTAGCTTGAGGAACAGCTGCCGGGCTCTGTTTTTTCCGACACTTATCTATAAGCATTAGACTTATGTTGTCCGAAAAAGAAAGCTTTTGCTTAAATGATTGGAAAAAATGAGAATTGGAAAATAATTTGGATTTTTACATGTTAAAATTACAAAAAATCTTTAGGACTAGAACTTTTTAAAGAAAAACTTCCAGAAATCCTTAAAACATTTTTGGAATTTTCCAGAAAACTTTTTGAAGTCTTTAATTATAAAGAAGAGAGAGACGAACGTGAAATATTAGCAATAATCTTGTTTAGCTTCATTTTGTCAAGATAATTTGAGGTAATTTGGATAAAAAATTTTCAAAATGTTCGAATGGTTCCTTCATTTTGAGATACAGTCGTGGTTTTATAAAATTAAAGGGGGTTGAAAAATAAGTGATAGGCGAGTTTTCATTTTTCAACACAAATACGATTTTAAATTCTGCAAAAAAAAAATTTAATTCTTTTTGAAAATTATATTTCAATTGCTTAGCTATTTAATAGATGAAAGCAGGAAGGGCTTGATCAAGTTTCCCAGCTTATTCAGTATTAGTTATTAGGGAAGTTAACGTTGAGATAAACAGACCTTTAAGTATGATTATATCAATAAAGTGATGATGATGCGACAAGAATCCAACGAGGTAGAAGGTAATGCTTCTCATCATTCATAACGTGAAAGAATACAGCTTAATGAAGTTTCAAAATATTAACCTTCAACCTTTCGAATGGTACGGTTTTATGTTTGCAAATTTCTACGTGTAAAACGTAAATAAAATGGACTCAATTATTTCACTTTCATAAATTTTATGACAAAGAAATTTCATTTATTGGATAAAACTTAATAAACGATGATAGAACTACATACACACCTGGATTGCTTTTATTAGCCAAGTACAATCCATTGCTTCACAGTTGGCTATCTCTATCCCTTTTACAAACAGTACAGCATTGACAAACTGGAAGATATGAGATAATTTGATCATTGGTTAGCTTAATTAACACTATGAACTAGTCAATCAAAAGTTGGAAAGCGATTAATATTTCAGTTTCCTGGTTTTGTACTTGCCAATAGCACGGAGATCCAAGAGAAGAAGCCCAAATAAGCGCAATGAAAAACGGAAATGAATTCTTGATTCAATTATCTATGAAGGCTTTACAGGGTTCACAAAACAGATAGTTCGCAATGAAACTGACTGTTGAATTGATTCAAAAGAGAAATACAATGATTATGATAAGAAGCAATGTGTTGGACATTGTCCTGCCAAATTAATGAATATATTGAAAGTTTAAATTAAAGTGTCTTTTCGAAGTAAAATGTTTTACTGGGATGCTTTTAATGGTGATTACAAGATGGTAAAATTCCAGTGATGGGAATATTTCTCGTAGAAATATATATTGGGTGATGAAATGCGAGCACTGCGAGAATCAAAACAAAGGAATAACCTATATAAGGACACACCAAATCAGAATTCAATGCAACTACAATTAAGTGTAAGAAATATTTATAATATTGTTAGGACAGAAGCATGAAACGAAGTAGTTGTCTATCCATTAACAATATTATCATTTGTGTTACTGGTCCAAAATAAAATATGAACAGGACGGCTAATTGTTGTAGCAGATGAAATTTCTCTACAGCTGCTTATGGATGCTTGCTTCGAAAATCTTTCTTTTTCTCGGGACTAAAAGCTAAAGCAGTACTTCGTCATATTTGCAGACATTCTACTGACAGATAATATTAATTCTTAACAGTACCCCATAAGTTTGAATTGTTTCTCAACTCTTCTCTCCAAGAATGCAACTCACGCTTCGATTTTTGTTACTCATAATTCAGAAAACGGTAAAAGGAGAGATTAATTCACAGTTCAGTCTTTTATAGTTTTATAGCCTTGATCTGCGATAACGCTTTACCCCGAAATATCATTTTATTGCGACTCGATAAAATTAACAAAGATAAATTTTTTGACATATCATTTCTGGACTTTCTAAAATCCCAACAAACTCTCGTATTTCTGTAACCATAGCATCTACTTTTGTTTTACATAAATCAACAGCAGTCGAATTACCAGCAAAACTGTCGGCACACAGAACTTCGATTTCCTAAATAAAAAAAAAGATAAACGATAAGAAATCTTTATATGATATTTTAGCACTTATCAACCCTATTCTCAATCATAATCATTGTAATTTCAACCCGTCATATCAAAGTTTGAGAGTGAGAGTAAAAGCCTAAAAAGTAAAACAAGAAAGAATTAACCTCTCCCAGCCAATCGAAAATTTTGTCAATTGCCTTGGCTATCGTACTAACAAACATTTGACATATTTCACAAAAATCTTCTTGCTGATTTGTGCGAGCCATCAGTGCTGACAACTTCATTCCCTTCGTTTGACATATTGCAGTAACAACTACAACTACCAGTGCGATTGAAATAGATTTCATTTCTCACTGTAAGTTTAATTGCCAATACATGTTTTATAGTTAGAAAGCGACCGACCTTGCCTAAAAGCTGCTAGCCTCTAGAAAATTTCTCTCAGTGTTGTACTCAAGTTAGTGAGCCCATCCACTAGTACCAGCAAATATCCCAACTGTATGCTTTTTTCTCATGCTCATCAAACACCGATCTGGATTGGAAAGGATAAAGGTTACTTTCTCGAAAATCCGACGGTTAGCTTCATCGAATCCTGCAAATAACTACAACACATCCTACATCAGAAAATGAGCTAATCAAGCAAAAAATGTGAAACGATATCGAAAAATCACACCTTTTATGCTGCTTTCCTTCGATCGTACATCATTCGAAGAGAATCTCCATATCGTTATCATTCTCCCTAATGCTGGTAAATACCGCCTATCCAAAAATAAACAGTCAGCAAGTTGAATACTTTGTTCCCAAGCACAGATCAAATGTCCATATCAATAAGTACCAATATTACAACCAGCAAATTTTTGGAACGAGTGAATCCTATCAGCCCGCACTTCCAAGACAAAAAGAAACTGATAAGGCAGCTGATTCATTCATTCTTCCCAGAAGAAGGAATCGTTTCACCGTTCATCCATCTTCGGACTTTGTATTTTGTTTATCAATTAACGAGAAACGTCATTTTTTGCAAAACATACATGCATAACATAACGTGGCTCACGTAAATTACTCATCACGTTTGATCTTAAAAAGGAAAAAATGACAGCGTGTTAACAGAATGTGAAGGTAAATGACAAGATGGTGGGAGGAATCATTTGATGTTCGCTCCCAGAAACACTGCCTTAAGTGAACGTGAAAGAAAAGTGACGCAACGGAAGTGGTTAACGTCCATTTGCTGGCCAACAAACAACATACCTCTGACTTCGTGAAAAAAAATATTTCGATGACGTCATCAGAACTTTCATGTACGTCCATGTATGTTGAGAGTGATGAAATCTGAATGGTGCGGGATAAGTGTTCAGCGTTCCTTGTGCGTCTTAGGAGGGGACTCTTTCAGCGAATTTTCAGGGTTTTCCGATGATCAGTAGAGAGTACTGTATGAATTTTATGGACTAATCACTGCGAATGTGAAAAAAATTTTTTAAATCTCATTATTTGGTTAAAAACGAATCCGAATGCTTTATTCTCATACAGGTCGCCCACTTCTCTTTCCATTTTCTCCTTATTTCCTGGTACTCTTATTTCGACATTTTTTTGGGTTTGGGTAAGTTAGACAATGTCAAAGGATTGCGGGATACATTCCTGAGAACTTCTATCGCATACTGACAAGACTGCTAAGACTGGATAGTCGGGATCTACCAAACGTCCCGCGGTTCTCTGTAGCATGACACCCAGCTACTGTTTTGTGAACTATACTGAATGATTATTGAGCTTTCATCTTCTAAGCGCAATGTTCGAAACACCATTACTCGGGAAGTTGTTTTCAACATCCAGTCATATATATCATTTGGGTGACATTGTCGATTGCTTGCATTGGAATGTTTCCGTTGCTGTCTTCATTTTATGCGCTCTGTTTGTTGGCGCTAAACAACAGTTCGGGCAACCAATACAATGTATGCTTCCGACACACCTCGACAGTACGTTTCGGGAATTTTAGTTTATCAGCAATATTCTATCCAATCTATCGTTCCAGACTAATTCCTGAGAAGTACTGGGAGAATGGGGCTCTTTGTTCCATTCCTCAGTCCTTTTACGTAGTTGTTTGAATACTTGTTAAGGATATTATTACTTAAACTAATTTGCATTCCATTACAGAACTTCCTTGGATCGATTATGGCCAGTATTATTGTTTCATTCAGAATACTTATCGTTTAACATACAATAAAACATTACCAAGCGCAAGTAGTGGAGCAGAAAATCGTTCAGATGCTGCTGTAAATTATTGTCAGGTTGGTTGCTTACAGTATATATCTATATCTGTATTTATATCTATATCTATATTTATATCTATATATTTATATCTATATCTGTATTTATATCTATATCTGTATTTATATCTATATCTATATTTATATCTATATGTTTATATCTATATATCTATATTTATGTCTATATATATATATATGTATATATATATATATACTTAATGCACATTGTTCCAAGGGAACTCCTCTAAAGCCAGTTGGACGAAGCATGAGTTTTCAATCACCTTTATTTTGAATCATTAAGACTTACCTTACACTTACACATATTATAAAGTATGGGGGAATTTTCATTTTTTTGCTCAAAATAATGGACAAGAACAACTAGGACATTAGTCAACTAAGCCGTCGATAAAAAAAGTAAAAGCTTTATAAACCAAATTAAATTTCAGAAACTATTCAGGTTTCTGAAATACAAAATTTTGTATAAGAAACCACGAAAAGTTAAAAAGAATCTTTTAGTGGGTACCATTTTTCCTAACAATCCAAGCATTATGCTTCTATATTCCTGGCTGGTTATGGAGAACGTTACAAGGTCAAAGAAGTAAGACTTTTGTTTATTATCTGTTCAAAAGCTCCTTTAACATCGTCCATCATTTATTCCTTAATCTTATTATTTCCGAAATTTTTTTCTGCATTTTCATAAATTTGTTAATTCTAAAACTTACAATTCTTTTGCAGCTCTTGACATGGAAGCTGCTATTCGTGAAGCTATATCCTTGAAAAAAACATTCGAATTTGAAGATCGAGTAAAGAAACTGATAAATTTAATCGACTATATTGCCTCTGGGTTGAAAATGAAAAAGAACATGTGCATGTTTAGGACCGTCGGTTTTTTATCATTTTGAAATGCAAATTGTTTGACGGTTATCCACTACATGGGTTTATGTAATCCTTAAATAATCCTGCCAGATCTCTTGTCTTGATTATTCTAAAAGTGACCTTTGATTTTCATAAAATTCAATCTTTTTGAAGTAAATTCTGGATCATTTTAAGATATGTCAGATGTCGAAATCCACAAATGGATTTTCAAATCTGATGGCGGTCAGTTTTGTCTATTTGCTTTGAATTTGAAATTTTCAAGGTTTTTCTAACGACTGTTTTACAGAATTTGAAATCGCGTAAATTATGGGCTCATTAACGGACTAGATATATTAGATTTTTTTTAGAAATTGTGCAAGTATCCATTCGACAGAGTGAATGGCATATCAATAGCACTTTATCTTGTTTCGAAGTTCTTAAATGTCGTAAATGATATAGTGCAGCTCTACATCATTGGCCGATTTATTGGTTCCAATAATTTTTCGTGGTTTCTCACTGTAAGTTAGTCCAATTGACTTTTCCGATCTGATTGGTGTCTAATTGTACAATGGGTTTGGTTTTCTTTAAATTCTCATACTGGAATTTCTGAAACCCCCACCAGTTATTTATTTGATATAAGCCTATTGATTATTTATTTATTTATTTACAATTTATCAAGTCGCAGTTCCGCTAAATTTATTGGTTTTTGTGCCTATTCTTTAAAGACCTCTCAATTGTAAATTTTTGCCTTTCGTAGCTTTATATGTTTGTAGAAATTTGTTGCACATTAAAAAGTGTGCAGGTAAAGAAGGAAGTAAATGAGTAGTCCTTTTTTTTCTTCTGAATAACTTCATATGTAATATACTTTTGCCACATTATATTTTTAGAAAATGCCATTCACGTCATCATATTTTCCATTAATAACATTCTGCGATATGGAACGACAAACTTTAGGAAAAATGGAAATAAATACGTTGCAATGTGTTTTGATGCTTAATTTCATCAATGAAAAAATTTTCCTCATGCTCTGGTATTGGATCTCCTTGGTGAGAATCCTATTAGGCATTTAAATTAAGCTTAAATCTCCTATCAAGAATAGCTGATTTTAGCTTAGCACATTTTTGCTTGTTAAAATTTGATGAGGACAATTCCTCAAATGGACCTCATATGATGCATGAGGTATACTTTAGGATGCTTTGCTCAAATTTAAATTTTCTTTATGGGTGTTTTAAGCAACAGATTTCAATTTTCATTTCAGTTGTTTGTCATATCATTAACAAATTTCATGATTACATTCGTACGATGTGTGCAGCCACAATGTCGTGAAATTTTGATAAAGTTCTATCTGCAAGGGGTACAGCTTTTGCTTTCAATTTATCGGTCAAGTTTTGTTGTTTTTATTCTTTTTCATTATGTTGTTTCAGTTTTCCGTTTTTATAACTAGTTTTTACTTGATCATTAAGAGCGATCAGAAAATTCTTGAACGTTCTCAGAGTTATAACTTTTCTGGTTAAAATTTAAATCATTTGGTTCACAGGAAGGTGAATTGAATGAGGACGACTGTTTCTTGTTGAAAGATAAGAGGCGTCTGCATATTTATGCTATGGAGGTATGCACATTATTTTATTTTATACTTATAAGTTTGCTGAAAATGGGAGGTGAAATTTCTATGGCTTCAAAAGATGACACTGATTTTTCAGCTGAAGCCATTGAATGACTTTATTGAGTCATTTAAAAGTTCGAAATATAATATTTTTTGAAGTCTAATATTTTGCATGGACATTTTAAAATGTTCCTCAGTTTCTTGGCTTGGATGGAGCGCTGCTATTGCGTTTCATTGACGATCATGTGGGCGTTATTGTGACACATGATATCACAATCGGTTTATGGCAGCATTTCTGTCGTTTCTACGGGGTAATTTTTTTTATCATCCGTTTATTTTATGAACCTAACCACTTTATTTAGTTAACCTCTTCTTTAGGAAACGATAAAAATTTTTGTAGTGTCAATTTTTGTTACTGGTCGTGGAAAAATACCGTAATTCTAATTTGTTCTGAAGAATAGGACACAGTGATGAAAAACGGAGAAAAAGGAGAGAGGAAAAATCCATCATTTGATAAATTTGATATATTTCTAACATTTTTTGTTGTTTCGTTTTTAGGATTCCAATTTCTACACATTTCGTGGGATTGTTACAAGCGTCAAGAGATCTGAAATTGCATGTTCATACTCGTCACCATTATCTTCTACAGCTTTCCTTAGCAGAATAGATTAAATCACAGTTGGTACTCTTTGTAACAGTAAGGTTGTAATTAGAAATTAATAGGTGTGACGATTCAGCTCGTGTCCTAACCTCCATATTTTCTCGATTTTGTCCAGAATCTATGGATTTATACGACATCATATTTTGAACAATAATCTTGAAAATTTTCAAGCTTTATGACTCGAGATTTTTTCCCATAGCAGCAGTTCAAAATGCAATTGCTTGTCTATACTTTGAATGTTCGTTTGTGCTTTTCTTCATGTAGATCTCCATTAGTGCTTGACAATTCCACATCTCAATTCTGCTTGGTTTTCATTTCCTGAGGATAAGTAATGACATGGAAAATTTAACTCAGGGTTAAGAAGAATTGTGGCGTAAGAGATTATGGAGACAAGTTAGGAATACAACTTTTTATTTCTTGGTTTTTAAAGTAAGAACTTCGTTCATGTTTGGAATTCAGTATTTTGGAAGAGGGTTAATTATTTATGAAAAGATTTATTTAATTATTTATGGATAAATCATTTTCATTTAATTATTTATGGAAGAATACCTTAGATAATCTAATCTTTGGTATTTGTGTAATTCTCTTTATCTGTAAAAAATTCATCAGCTTTGTACAGTTTTTTTAATATCAAGTTCTAAAAGTCTTTATTTTTTGTCGTACTTCCTTTTTATTAGTATTTTTTCCTGCTTTTTTATTGAATGATCTGAATAAGTATTTTACATAGTCCTATTGTTAACGATTATTAGTTCACAAATTGATCACTAGTATGATTTAAAAAAAAAATTCTTAATAGACAGTAATTAAAAAAGTAAAAAAAAAATTAAAAAGAAAAAATGTCGTAACTTCAAACTGAGAAAACCAACAAGTCATGTTGCAGATTGCACTGAAACATTTATACCCTGAACTTCATTTTGTCACGACCAGGAGGAGGAAGAGTATTTATGTTGAATATAATTCATTCTTGATACAAGTAGGGCTGTACTTCACGTAAATAAAAGAGATGCCACTCTTCCGTCAAATCAGTAGATTTAATATAGCTCCTGATTAAGTTCTCTTCACTATCGTATCTTTATCGAAAATTAACTGAGAGCTTATGCATAATTTTCCTATTAAATGTTGACTTTTTTAAACAGTTGTTGTATCAGAACACAGAGTGTTCAGAGGAAATTTTTCTAGGGAAGAAGTTCACATTCATTTGATTGAGTTATCAATTGTCAGTTGCAGAGTGTTCTTTAATACAAGAAATTTCCGTACTGAACGACCTGAACAATTAACAGAAGTATTTCCAGCTAATCCCCAAAATACTTGGATTAGTCTGCTTTTGTATAGACTTCTAGTATTATCCAATTACCATCACTCCAAGAAATTCATTCCAAAGATCACTCCATCACTCCAAGAAATTCATTTAACGAATTTCATTTAACGTGAATAGTATGTGAATAGTAAGAAATCCATCAAGAAATTCATTTAACGTGAATAGTATATTCCATTCTGTACTGCTAATGGCTGGCTGACCTGGGAAAAACACAGATGAAGTTGATTTATTTCAATAGGAGAAAAGTCATTAACGTTGTAGATGATATGTCCATCAAAACGTTACATCATAATTCGAAAGATGAAGATTTTATTTAGGTCTTGCTCTCATTTCCAACGAATAATTAATAGCCATAGTACATTATTCAAATTTGAATAGTGTCAGGGGTCAATCTTTCTAAAAATTTTTGGAAAATATTTCCAAATATCAACTACCAAAAGCTGGAGCGCATTGTTCTGTCGTTTGACTGAATAGAACAGTACACCTTAAAGTGGCACAAAATTGTGGAGTGCAGATTCAAGTGCAGAGACTTTTCTACATGTGCTGCAAAGATTTATTGCCCGTCGTGGAACGTCAAAAGTAATCAGTGATAATGCACTTAACTTTAACACAACAAGTGAAATCTGTAACGCAGTGGAATGTAATATCAAAAAAGGATTCTTCAGTACTTTACTATTGCAACAAGTATAAAATTAAATGAAAGTCATCACTCCTCATGGGCCATGACAAGGAAGAATATATGGACGATTAATCGGATTGATAAAACCTGTCGGTAAAAACCAAAATATTTTTATTGTATTGTGAGGATGTGTAGCTCAGCTCATGCTGTAAAATGCTGTAAATTAGCTCATGTTAATAATCAAGTTCGTTCTATTGTGAAGAATCTCATCAATCTTAGGTAATCTTGAGGTTAATCTAATCTCTTGGATTGTTGTAAACAAGCTTCCACTATATAAGGGATACGGACATACAGTAACCAGAGTCATTCTACAACCAGGATCATTATACAGGAGGTGAATCTACAATTCAGCAATTCCTACAATTTTTAATTCCATACCGACCACTCCTCCGTCAGCAGCGTACTCCAAAATCCCTCTAAATAAATATTTACAAAGATTTCACAACCAACCAAGTGATTGATCCTATAGGAAAATGATTATTCGCCGACATCTTTCCAGTGCATCTATTTGTATCATTTGCTAATAATTTATTCCCCATAAAAAAAAAAAGGAATAAATATTTCTGAGTCTACAAGCCTTTTGCACAACCAATCGAAGTTGCCAACCAGCAAAACTCCGACACAGAGCAGCTTTCACGACAAGCAGTATTTAAACGAGCAGTGAAAAGACGCTTTCTGAGGAAAGTGGAACTGGTTACGGAAATCATCGAGTCATCCAACATGAAGCCATCTTGAAATCCGCATCGTTAACATAAATGATGGAAGATTTGATGCAAGTCCTTCGTCCTACTAATTTCATAATTTCCTTAGCTAAACATGGTGGCCCGTACCGAAAAAAGGAATCAGATTATGGAGGTTAAGCTTTAAGTGGAGAAATCCGATGCAAGGGAAATTGAAAAAACAATTTCCGAAAACGGATCAAAGTCTAGACAGATTTTGAACGCAATGACAGCGAAATTATCTTCTTAGTTTAAGAGAACAAAAGCTGGTAAGTACAACATCAATAGGGACAAAGTTTAACTGAAAGAAAACCTCAAATAAATGAAATAGCAATTACGATGGTGGAAGAACAACCAAGAAGGACTACTGGAGAGATGAAATCTTGTAAGGAGCAATTCGAAACGCAACAGCCCGACTTTACCAAAGTTTCGATACCATCACAATTTGATTAGGACGATAAATTTATTAATCCCTCTGAAAACTGGAAATGAAAATGGAGAGGAAAGAAATTTCAACCAAGCAGGACGTAAAACTAGAACGAATGTAAATAAAAGAAAGGAAAAAAGGAAAAAAGATAAGACCTCATTCGCCGACAGTGACTAGAAGGAAAGCAAAGGAAAAAGTCAACGCTTCTTCAGCATTAAAAGCAAACAAAATGAAGTTCTATATCCTGGGCTTACTATGCTTGATATTTTCTGGGTAGTAATGGCCGAAAATAGAATCGAATATGGAATACTTGAAGGAAGCCCTGCATGCTCTCTCCCAGATGGGAAATTCTCCTTGAGAAAAGAAAAGAAAAGACTATTATATATCGAATAAATGTCAGATTTGCACTTCAATTTGCCTGAGATGATCATAATACGAAACAATTTGCGGAATAAATTGTATCATTCACCAAAGAAATAGAATGAATCAAATCGATTCAAGTCACATTCTTTCCCGTCAGGAGTGCCATCAATAAACGAGAAGTTTCGTGAAGAAAACATAAACATTCATAAGTGAATGTATTGAGATTTACCAATTTGTATATACCAGGTTGGGTCGTGATTACGATTTG